CAACTTCTAAGAAGTACCTTGGAAGACAAATTAATGAAACTAACTCTGGAGGAAATATAAAAATTGAATAGCACCTATTAAAGAAAGTATATTCCTAGCTTGAAAACCTACCTATATGACAACAGCAGGCTAATATACATTTTAACTGATAAATTATATCAAACAATTAAAGCAGAAAAAAGAAGGAACACTTCTCCCCTCATTTTAGGAACTCAACATTGTGCTAATCCTAAAACTGGATAAAGATAATAGAAGAAAAAAGTATGAACATAAATAGAAATTTGTTTAACAAAACTATTAGAAGTCAGATCTGGCAGGATGTAGAAAGTGGTTTTGTTATAGGGATGGCAGTGTTGGTTCAGCATTGGAAGATCCACCCCCAAAAGTCATCATTTTAACAGAGGAAAGGAAAAAGCCATATGATCCTGTCACTAGTTGGAGAAAAAGTATTGGACTAAATTCTACAGCTGTTCATGGTAAAAGCTATTAGGAGACTAGAAGTAGAACAGAAACTTCTCAACAGATTAAAGACATGTACTCCATACTTCCAGCGAGAATGCCTTATATGAATAGAGAAGATACAATGCTTTCTCCTTAAGGTGGGGAACAAGGGCAGATATGCTTACTCTTTATCTGTCCATTAAACTTTGAAACCTAGTCCCCACCAAAATAGTCTGGCAATAAAATGACACAACTAGGGTAGGATTGGCACTGCAGAAGCAAAATCTTTATATGTAGATGAAATGATCATCTACAGAGAAAATACTAAGAAATCTCTAGGAGCCCCTAGAACTTGTACTTGAATTTAGCAGGATTAGAAAACACAAGGTATATATAAAAATTCACGTCTGTGTATACTTGCTATAAATGAAGAATTGGATATTGAAATTTAAAAGTTATGTAGGAGTACAAAGGACCTAGAAAAGTTTAAAAAAAAAAGTGTTGGAAGACATTTAGTACCTAATTTTAAGACTTCTAAAGCTACAGTAATCAAGGCAGTGTTGGTGTAAGGAAAGACATATAGATCATTGGAATAAAACAGAGAATCTAGAAATAGAACCACACATATATGGTCCACTGAGTTTTGAAAGATTATTTAACATTAGCATTTTATAGAATACAAACTGAATTCAAGAGCCGAGGAAGAGATAGTGTTTTCAGCAAACAATGCCACTGTTTCTTTCTGCATGAGCTCAGTCTCCTTACAATGACAGATCCTGTCTTCATGTTGCTTCTTCAAGGCTACCAGTTGTTCTTGTCTTCCTCAGGAGTCATTCTTCTTAGGCCTGCTCTCTTCCCACAGGCTTGCTGGCTTCCCAGATGTAGGCTAGGGCCTGTCATGATGCTGTCATTGTTCCTAGCGCAGCCCCCTCTCTTCGCTGGCCCTCACTGGGATGGCAGCTTGTCTACAGGCACTTTAAAATTATTTTAATAAAGGGGCGGGCCGGGGATTTAGCTCAGTGGTTCTGCCGCCTGCCTCACAAGCACAAGATCCCGAGTTTGATCCCTAGTACCAAAAAATAAATAAATAAATAAACAAATAAATAAAGGGGCTCACAAATTGTTGCTAGGTCTGTGGAATCCTTCAAATGACACCTATAATCACAGCTTTTGATATCATGTTGAAAGGGACATATTTAATAAAACTCAGGGAGCTATGTATGACAAAGATTTTGTTTTGTTTTGGTACTGGGGATAGAACTTGGGACCTTGCGCTTATGAGGCAGGTAGCAGAACCACTGAGCTAAATTCCAGGCCCATGACAAGGATTTTTTTGAGGATCAAACCCAGGGTCTGGAGCATACTAAGCATGCTAGAGGTGTAGCTACCACTGAGCTACATGCCAGCCTAAATAAGAATTTAAACCTGTTTTACCACTCTCAGGCAGCATAGCCACGGGCAAGTTAAACTTTGGTTTGATTCTCTCACTTCTCTCTTAGCTTCTCTGTCAGCAGAATCTCTCTGCCCATTTTTATTTTTCCTATCTCTGTCTCTCAATGTCTCCTCACTTTCATTATCTTTTTGTCCATTTTCTTGTACTGTTGTTTTTCTTTCCTAGTTATCTTTCTCTGCATCTGTTTTTTTTTTTGGTACTGGGAATCGAACTCAGGACCTTGCACTTGCAAGACAGGCATGGGGTGCCACTGAGCTAAATTCCTGGCCCACTCTGTTTTGTTGGCTTCATAAACTTTTGTTTTTGAGACCAGGCCTCACAGGTATCAAATTCCTAAACTCAGCCGGGCCTGATGGTGAAAGCCTGTAATCCCAGCTCTTGAGAGGCTAAGGCAGGAGGATCACTGTGAGTTTGAGGCCAGCCTGGGCTACATAGTGAGTTCAAGGCCAGCCTGAACTACATAGTGAGACCCTGTCTCAGAAAAAACATTTTAAAAATTCCTAAGGTCAAGGAATCTTCCCTAGTGCTGGGGTTACAGGTGGTATCACCTTGCCTAGCCTCTTTTTTTGCGGTATTGGTAGTGAGGATTGAACCTAGGGAGCACTGAGCTATATCCTCAGCCCTTCCTGCTAAATTGCCCAGGTTGGCCCAGAACTTGTGATCCTCCTGTCTCAAGTCTTTTTTCCCCTCAGCCTTTCAAGTAGCCAGGATTATACGCATGCGCTTCCATATCTTCTTTCTCGTTTTCTCCCTATCCTCTTTTTCTGTATCTCCCTCTCTGCCAGTCTTTGACATCCCCACGTCTTCTCCCCAGCCCCTACAAGTTTCTTTCCCAGTGGATAGGGTGACCCCCAACACCACTGTCAGAGCTGGACCCTCTTTCTCTCCCTTGATTCTATCTTCTTAGCCCCCTTCAGCCATCAAATATTACATTCCCTTCTGCCCCTGGAGACGAGTGGGTGCAAATCCAATGGCCATGAGCAGTGTGAGACCCGCATCGAAGGGGACCAAAGTTGAAGCGGAGCAGAAGGCTGGAGGATGGATCAAGACAGAAGCAGAGAGAGACTAAATCAAGGAGAAGGTATGGAATATGACAGGAATGACCTGAAGGAGCGCCACTGACACCCTTGGTGGAAGCAGATGGGATTAGAGTTGAGAGGCTCAGGGCATAGTTCAGTGGTAAAGCCCATGCTTGGCACACATACCAAAGGCCTTGCGTTTTATTTCCAGGGAGAGAGATGGAGAGAGAGGGGGAAAGAGAAGGGGAGAGAGAGGGGGAGGGGGAGAGACAGAAGATGCCAGTGAGGTATCCATCTGCATTTCTGCCTTCCTGAGGTCCCCAGTTTCAGGGTGAGGGGCACAAGGCCCAGCCCCAGCCTGGCAAGCACCCACTGAGGGAACTGGCATTGGTCCTCTCCTTCATCTGACTGTGTGGTATCTTCTCGTCTCCATACCTGCGTGGCTGACCTCACACCGCTTCTGCTCGTCACTGTCTCACTTGTCTCTTGCAGCTTTTTTTTTTTTTGAGTCAGGGTCTTGCTGTGTAGATCATGCTGGCCTTGAACCCACAGTGATCCTCTTCTCCTTTGGATGGTGGACACCCTGGAGTCTGGGGGGCCCAAAGGGGAGTGTCCTGAAGATGGGAGGAGGCTGCAGAGGGCAGGTACCTGTGACAGTAAAAGGCTTGCGGGGTGGGACCCATCTATAGGGGACCAAGTAGATACAGTAGAGGTTCACAGAGGAAGGCACATGCCTATAATCCCAGTACTCAGGAGGCTGAGGCAGGAGGATCTCTTGTGAATTTGAAGCCAGTCTAGGTTACACAATGAGTTAAAGGCCAGCGTGAACTCCATAGGGAGACCCTGTCTCAGAAAACAAACAAACAAAAAAATGGAGGTAGGGTCTCCAGCCCTACGGAGCCCCACAGAAAGAATGGAAAGGCGGGGGGCAGGGCGGGCTGGAGAGTAGGTGAAAGCTTGGAAATACCTAGGACCTGGGAACCCAGCACAGCACACAGAGCCTTGTGTGCAAAAGGGGTGGAACCGGAGGAGTCTGTGGCCCTGACATACAAGCATCCACATCCAGGATACCCTGGTTATAGTGGCGCTCCGGCCCCACACAGGGTGCTGCTGGCCAGAAGCCAGGCTCTAGCTGGAGTGTTGAGAGCTGTTTGCACGGCACCCACTACCTCCATCTCCAATCCACCTTGCCTTGCCTTTCTGAGGGTCATTGGTGGTAGGGTGATACGTGCTGCCTGGCACTGGGGTCACTCAAGCAGGAGTCACAGCTGTCACCACCGAAGACCTCTACGTCCCTCCAGAGCCTTGGGAAGCCCAGGTGGGCCTTTGCCCTCCCTCGGAGCAGTATCGAAGGGCACTTGCACTTCTGAATGGCTTGCTGAGGAAAGTTTCATGTCTTCCCCAAGGGCCTTTGCACCAAGTTTTTTCTGCCTCCTGGATGTGTCTGCACACCCAGGGAGACCATGTTTGCCCCACAGATGTAAGGGCTTGTGTAGAGGTAACAGCACCCAGGGGTGATGTCCATCCACAAAAATCTTCCTCAACCTTACACTGAAAACTAATTTCCAGCTATTTTGTGGTAGTTTTTTAAAAACCAAACTGACAACCACATGGCAGAGAAGTGTGTCTGTGGTAGGAGAGACATAGGGCACCCCTTCTTTGAGGAGGCCAGATGCCCCCAACCCCCACTTCCAACCCAGAAGCCACAGTGAAGAGAATCATCCAGAAGGGGCTTCTCCCCAGGTCTGGTTCCCACCCTTGGCACCTGGCCTTGTGGAGGAGTGGGGTGCCGGTGTGTGACACCAGGGGTGCAATGTCAGGACCACCCGCACTCCAGCAACCCTGTCTCTGCACTTTTTTTCCAAGCATGCTTCTCCACCCACTTAGGATTCATTGCACAGCCCCCACACACCCTTATTCACATACCTGATTCACGTCATCACACACTCCTTCCCAGTCATTCCACAAACCTTTACTAGAGCCTACTTGCTGTGGGACTCTAAGATCTAGGGCTTCCAGGGCCATGGGAAGGGCTCTGTTCCTTTTCAGGGGCATGGGGCAGGGCATGCTCAAGAAGTGCATACACAGGCATTTCCAAACTGGCTTTAAATACTCATTAGGGTGCCACACAAAGGAGCTGGGGTAAGAGCCTGTTAAATGTGTGGGGCTGGGGTGCCCTGAGATAAAAAAGAGACCCATCTGTCAGGGCAGCTGGGGTGCCCCACCCCCACCCTGGGACAGGGAAGCACAGAAGAGGCCCTCTCTGGAGGTCCCAGGGCTAACTGGGAGCCAGCCCTCCCTTCGAGGTAGATCACTGGGGAGGGAACCGAGGGGCAGCTCCCACGGTGGTGGTGTCAGGTGGTGGTTTCCTCAATGGTACTGCTGATAGCTGGGATAGCCGGTGGCTGAGGTACCCTCCTTAGGGGGTAGCTGGCTTGGGTCCTCCAGGAATGGGGGTGCTGGAGAGGGGAGAAGGTGGTCAGGACAAGTAGAAGAGGCTACAAGAAACACTCCCACCTCACCATGACCATCATCCACCAGGACCTGCTCACCATTGCGGAATTGCTGGGCAGTATAGCGAGTGAGGAGGATGCCGACACCCTCGATGAGGGCCAGCAGGATGCCCCCCATCATCGCAGAGCCCACCATGGCCAGCGGGCCACCTGGGGAGAACAGAGGGGTCAAGGTCAGGGCACAAAGGACAGAGTGCAAGAGGCTAGGCCCAGGGCTGGGGCACTCACTTCGGGCAGCCAGCACGGCCCCTGTCAGAGCTCCACTGGTGATGGAGTTCCAGGGATCCTCCTTGCCCCGAATCCGCACCAGGCCACAGTCGATGGTGGAGAACAGGCCCCCCCACACCGCGAAGCTGCCTGTGGGGAACAGAGGCCCAGTCAGTACTTCTGGGAAATGCCAGGAACCCACATCTCAGGGTCTGGAGACTTCGAAGGCTAACTCCTCCAGCTAAGAATGAAGGATTTGGGGGTGTGGCTCAGCAGTAGAGCAGAGCACAGGTAGCATCACATGACCTGGGTTCCATCCCCTGTACCAAAAAAAAAAAGGACAGAGAAAAACAGCCACAAAGGCAGAGGCAGACAGAGAATATTCTGTCTGTCCTCACTCTGTGAGCTCCCACTTCAAACTATCCAACTACCATTCACATCGCCTTCTCTGCCTCTATAAAGAGTTGACAAATGGTTACAAGCAGATTTATATGGATTTTTTCCACAAGTTCAAGTCCTGCCTGGGCAACTTGGTCAGACCTTGTCTCAAAATAAAAAGCTTAAGAGGGATAAAGTTGTAGCTCAGTAAAAGAACGCTCCTGGGTTCAATCCTCAGTACCACACAAAAACAAAATGAATCAAAACAACAACAAAAACAGATGAAATTAAAATACTGTATAAAATTAGCTGGATGTGGTAAAATGTGCCTATAGTCCTAGATACTGGGGAGGCTCAGGCAGGAGGATCCCTTGAAATCAGAAATTCAAGACCAGTCTAGGCAACAGAGAGCGATCCTCATCTGTTTTGTTTTGCAGTACTGGGAATCAAACCCAAGGACCACATGCATGCTAGGTAAGCACTATACTACTGAGCTAAAGCACTTACCTAGCATGCTCAAGGATCTTGGCTCAGTCCTCAGCATTGTGTTAATTATCTTTGGGTTATGTAAGTTGCATTTGAAACATAAATGAATTTCATCTTTAGACCTGAGTCCCATTCCCAAGATGTCTCATTATGCATATACAAATGTTCCAAAAGCCACAAAACTCTGAAATATTTCTGGTCTCAAGTATTTTGGATAAGGGATACTCAGCCTGTAGTTAAAATGTTTCTCAAGGGCTTACTATGTCCCAGGATCTATTTGAGGTATTTTGTTATTTGACTTCCGTAATTTAAAACTAGTTAATATTATCAAAGGCCTTAGCATAGCAACCAGCAGTTAATAAGTACCATGTAAACTAAAAAACCGGTAACATGGTTAATGTCATCATCATCGAGGTACACGAGGTCCAGAGAGGATCTGCTACTAACCCAAGGCACACCACAGAGAAGAGCCGTAGCTTGAATTTAAACTCCAGAATCCACACCCTTGTCCCTTCATATTAAATTGTTGGAAAGGATCACCCCCTGGAAAGTCCCTGGGAGAGTCTCAGCTAGAAACTGGACCCCCCAACTTGCAGTCTAGCCCCAAAGAACCAACCACCCCCAACATCACCCTATCTCCTCTATCTCCCCAAGCCCCTCACCTCCAATCTGGGGTGCTCGGATCCTCACGGCATTGACACTACCTCTCAACCGGTGTTGAATTCCCTGGGGAAAGTAAGAAAGGGAGTCAGGGCAGGGTTAAGGCCACTCGCAGACAGGATTTCTAGCCTTTGAGGGAGGGAAGGGATTCAGGGGTGGTGGTGCACAGCTGTAATCCCAGCACTCAGGAGGGTGAGGCAGGAGGACTGCTGTGTGTTCCAAGGCTAGCCTAAACTATATAGGAAGTTTCAAAAAGGCAAACCAAACAAAAATTTTAAAAGGGCTGCAGATGTAGCTCAGTACAAAGGCCCTGGGTTCAATCCACAGTACTACAAAACAAGGGGTGATGGGGTGTAGCTTAGTGCTAGAATGCTTGCCTAGCATGTGCGAGGCCCTGGGTTCCATCCCTAGTATTAAAAAAACCAAACAAAACAAAAGGAGGGAAGAGACCCATTAAATGTGAAGAAGCCAAGAACTAGGGGTCTGGGGAGCTCATTGGGTTGCTAAGTTCTAATTTCTTAACTTCTTCACTCATTCATTCAGTAAATGATTAAGGAGCACCCAATGAACATGGTAGATCTGGCCAATGCCCTCTCCAGGCTCACATAACAGGAGACAGACCCTAAGCAGATAAACAAGACAGCTTCAGACAGCACAGGCATTCCAGGAGACAGGATGAAGACGTGGTCCTAGCGGAGTCAGGAAAAATCTTGTTAAGGAGGGGGCATATGTGGAGAGCTGGTGACTGGAGGTCAACAACAGAACACATACTTAGGCCCTGCTTTGGTCTCTAACAGGTAACATGTGCTGAGATCCCCAAGGACAAAAAATATGGGTGAAGGGCCAGGGATTTAGCTCAGTGGTGCTGACGCCTGCCTTGCAAGCACAAGGTCCCCAGCACCAAAAACAAAATAATACAGGCAAAGATCCAAGAAAGAGAGTTCTAGGAGTGAAGGGGATGGACAAAGGTACATATGGAAACTGCAAGCTGGGCACAGTGGCCACACTTGTAATCCCAACATTCTTAGAGGTTGAGGTAGGAGACCAAAAGTTTGAGCCCAGCCTGGGCAATTTAGCAAAATCCTGTCTCAAAATAAAATAAAATAAAATACTGAGGATTTGGATCAGTGTGAAGACCTTGGGTTCAATTCCAAGTACTAAAGGAATAAAAGAAAAAAATGAAAAAAATTGGAGATCTTAGTAAACAAATGGCAGTTAAAGCTATATTTGATGTGATCTTGGGGGTGTATGTCAGAAAAGAGAATTACGTTAAATCAAAAGGATTTTCTGTTTTAAGGCTGCTTCTTCTGTCACTTCCCTATATCCATGCTTCTGACCCAGAATCTGTCTCTAGTTAAAATCAATCCAGCTTTGTACTCACATTGAGGATTTTGTTCCTTTTCTTTTTTGCAGTGCGGGGGATTGAACTCATGTTCTCAAACATGCTAAGAAGGTGCTTACCAGTAAGCTACACAACCCCAGCTCAGATGACTGTTAATTTGCAGTGCTGGGGTTGGAGTCCCAGGATCATGCACTAGGCAAGCGCTCTACCACTGAGCTACATTCCCAGGACCACCCCACCCCCCCCTCCGCCCCCGACAGTACAGCATCTCCACAGCTGGGTGGATGGAAGATAGAGGCCTATGTGCAATTTCTCCAAAACCCCAGATCCAGGAGCCAGGCCTGGTACACAGTAGTTGAACAGACAGCAGAATAACTAAGTGCACGCTAACTGGCAGCTCCGAGCAGTTTTCCAGCAGTGTTCTGTGTGGGTGAGGCTGCTGACTCCCACATTGCTGGGGAAGCCAGGACTCACAACGGGAGCATTGCGGAAACCCTTAATAGCCTGGAAGACTCCGCCGCCGATCACGCCCATCGTGAAGGCTCCACCGCAGTCATCCACGATTCGCCAGGGGCTGCGAGTGGGAAGGGAAGGGTGCGGTTAACGTGAGTCTCCTTCCTGCCAGGCCCTGTCACTTGGACTCTTTCCAACTGGGAGAAATCATGTCACACGAATGGAAAGTTTGAGTGAGAAGATACGCTTCAGATGATAACAAGCTAATCTTGTACCTTTTTTTGTTAACCTCATGAAAACGCGAAGTGGAGCAAAAGGGGGAAAATACTCTTGATCTCAAGCAAGAGATCAGCCATCTGTTTTACTATCAAAGATTAAGAGGACCGATAGATGCAGAGTTGGTACGTTTAAACGTTTAACAGCGGAAGCGTTAACAAGCTAGTACTGTTGAAAGAAACAGGACGGGATGGCACCTCTCCCCACGATGAGCACGTCCAACCAAGTTCCTCCCTTTTGCACCTTTGAAACCCAGGAGAGGGAAAAATCAAGCTCCTGAGGCCTCAGGAACCTTTTTCCTTGCTCATCATAGGCTCATGGATGCCCCGCCCCAATTCCCTAAAACTGGGGGAAAACCCCGCGAGGTAACCCTGAGAGCTTCCGCTCAGCCGCCCCTCCCCCCGCCGCCAGCGTGGATTAGGGCAGCGGTTTTCTACGTTGACAAGGCGGGATGAGGAGCCTCGAAACCAGAGGAAACTTGAGGTGGTTTGTCCAGTAGAGCACCTTCTTGAGCACACAACTGAGGACCCGCTTAACGGCGCCCGAGTGGGAGGAGCCAGTTCGGGGAGCGGAAGAAGTTACATTTCTAAGCGTCTAACGAGTCTGGGACGTAGCACTGTGTGTACCGGATCTCCCCCGCCCGCCTCCCATGGCTGGCCTGGGCGCCGAAGCAACCGTCCGGATGCCAGTGACCACCGTCGTACCAAGGCTCTCGAGCGTACTCCTCCATGGCTTCTGGCGGCGCTAACGGCCGGACCTCCGCCGGGCCACGCCCCCTTGTAACGCACCCGGGGCGCAAGCTTTTCGGCGATTTCAGAAAAACAATTGGGTCACTTTGTAACGTCAGGCATTCTTATTGGTCAGGAGGTTTGCGTCGATTCTCTGCCGCTTTCGGAGTCGCCCAGTCACTTTAACGCTCCCGGAAAGGGGACCTCGTCTTGTGGTTTGGAAGAAAAGAACGCGTGTAGTATTGGCGAGTTTAGTGGCGACTGGCCTGACAGCCTTCCACTACCTTTACGACTGTATCGGTAATGCCGGGGTGGGTGTATATTTTTTAGAGCTGGAGGAGGTGTTGCATTCTACTCCCCCATCCCAGCGTCTTGGTTCCTCCCACCTTTGAGTGATGGTTGGATGAGCCCATTTCTGGAGTGCGGGGCGGAAGGGGGGGGTGCTGCGCTTGGCCCCTTGGCCCATTGGGAGGAGCCTGGGCCTGGGTGAGGAATTGAATCCAGCGGCGTCAGACCGGGAGAGCTGTGTTGGTGAAAGTTTTGTTGATTGTGCCACTGTCTGTTACACTTTTGAGCAGGTAGGTTTCATGCACTCAGCTACAAGTGTATTTGGGTAGGTAGGGTACATGCTGTGGGGAAGCGCTTGAGACTGGATCCAGATTCTAATTTTTAGTGTGTCTCTCTGTCCCAAGGTCTGTGTGCTACTTGCTATGCCGCTGCCCGTTGCGCTGCAGACCCGCTTGGCCAAGAGAGGCATCCTCAAACATCTGGAGCCCGGTGAGAAAGCTAAGAGCAGATGGGCCTACCATGTGCCAATCTTGACAAGTCATTTTATTGTTGCTACTGACACCTAATACTTGGTGGAGGGGGTGCACCAAGCAGTGGGGTGACTGGCATCTTATTGTTAACAATATGATAGGGCCGGGGATTTAGCTCAGTGGTTCTGGTGCCTGCCTCGCAAGCGCAAGGTCTCAAATTCGATCACTGGTACAAAAAAAAACAAAATACGATTTTCTGCCGGGGATTTAGCTCAGGGGTTCCGCCGCCTGCCTCGCGCAAAGTCCCGAGTTCATCCCCCGTATCCCCCCCACCCCCCCAAAATACGATTTTCTGACATCCGTTTCTACTGTACTAAGCAGTCTGTAGGGGGTGTGGTTAGGGGACTGATACTTCGTCTTCAGTAATGACATCTGATGCTGTTTGATCCATGACTCAAACCAGGGGTGGTGGCACGCGCCTGTAGTGCCAGCTAGCAACTTGGGAGGCTGAGGCAGAGGGATCACTTGAGCAACATAGACCCAGTCCCCAAAAATAATTAAAGTAGATAGGAATCAATGCATAGGGGGACTATATGTTATCTAGTAGGAAGGATAGCTGACGCTGCCTGCAGTCTCCTGTGCGCAAGGTGTTGATACTTTACCACAGTAGCATGTGTCAGAGGTAGTCTAGTGATGGACCTAATAGTGGTGACCTGACATTGTTTGCCATATCAACAGCTGACATTTTGGGGGCTAAGTGCCTGGCATACATGTTATGATTAACAGTCTAAACTGATGGTGAGGGCCAGGCATAGTGGCACACACCTGTATTCCCAGCACATGGGAGGCTGAGGCAGGTGGGTTTGGATGTGAGAAATACTTTATATGCTTTTTGACACACACGTCTTCCACACGTGGTTTGTGTGGATTTGAGTGTGTCTCTCAGGGCCCTGGCTGTAGAATGAAAACTTTCCTGATCCTTAACTACTGTCCTTTTCCTTGTTCTGCCAGAACCAGAGGAAGAGATCATTGCTGAGGACTACGATGATGATCCTGTGGACTATGAGGCCACTCGGTTGGAGGGCCTGCCACCAAGCTGGTACAAGGTGTTTGACCCTTCCTGGTGAGCCTGGGGACCTGGTGGGGAGGGGCAACTGACTTCCGATTTTCCCTTCCTGTGTTGTCCCTAGCTGTAGGGTATATAGGGGACATGGGGGAAGAGATATGGAGGTTCTGACAGGGGACAGGTATAGGCAGAGATTGGGAAGACAAGAATCGATACCAGGAGAGGCCATCTGTGCTGATATTCCTTCCCTCTCACTGCCCCACAGCGGGCTCCCTTACTACTGGAATGTGGACTCAGACCTCGTATCCTGGCTCTCCCCACATGACCCCAACTCTGTCGTTACCAAATCTGCCAAGAAGCTCAGGAGCAATAATGCAGGTGAGTTGGCAGATCTGAGGGTACCTTAAATGATTGTAGCAGTTCTTAGAAAGAGGCCAGACAGGTGAGACCAGGTAGGACCAGGCCCAAACTAATTGAGACTGTTGAAAGCAGAGGCTGCTGGGTCCTGGGGTGGGAGGAGAAGGTCACTTCAGGACCTTCTTGTCCCCTTAGATGCTGAGGAGAAGTTGGACCGGAACCACGAGAAGTCGGACAGGGGCCATGAGAAGTCTGACCGTAGCCACGAGAAGCCGGACCGGAACCATGACAAGTCAGACCGGAACCATGACAAGTCTGACAGAGATCGAGAGCGTGGCTATGACAAAGTGGACAGAGAGCGAGAGCGGGACAGGGAAAGGGATCGGGATCGTGGGTATGACAAGGCAGACCGAGAAGAGGGCAAAGAACGACGCCACCATCGTCGGGAGGAGCTGGCTCCCTACCCCAAGAGCAAAAAGGGTAAGTGGAGCAGGCTGGGGCTTGGGCAAGGCAGGCGAGGTGCCAGGATGTGCGATGGGAGGAGGTCTTCTCTCAGGATCATGCCCAAACCTGGGTCCTGGAGAAGGGTGCTGCCAGCCATGGTGGCTGCAGGCTCCATTTCTTCCTGGGATGGGGTGCTCAGGGACCAGGGGCTCCTTGTGCCTTGATTGAAGAACTTGCCCTGCCACTTACTTTCATAGTGGCCAGCCGAAAGGATGAAGAATTAGACCCCATGGACCCCAGCTCCTATTCAGATGCCCCCCGGTAAGTGACAACCTCTCATGATCCCTTTTCTTTCCCCCTGACCTCACTGCACCTGAGAATACCACCCTTCTTGCCATCTCCTCCCTCCATTCCTGAGTCTTGGGTGGTTGAGGGGTGCCCACCACACTCCCTTCTCACACCCTGAGCCTCTGTTACCCCTAGGGGCACGTGGTCAACAGGACTCCCCAAGCGGAATGAAGCCAAGACAGGTGCTGACACCACAGCAGCTGGGCCCCTCTTCCAGCAGCGTCCATACCCATCCCCAGGGGCTGTGCTTCGAGCCAATGCTGAGGCCTCTCGAACCAAACAGCAGGATTGAATCTTTGCTCTCCTCGGCCCTGGGAGCTTTCTCTTCCTTCCTTCCTCCCCCCACCCCTTTTTGCAGTGCTAGGATAGAACCCAGGGCCTCATGCATGCTAACCAAGTACTCTACCACTGAGCTACACCCCAGTTTCCCTGGAGTTTTTAATAAAAGCTTTTCTGTGATCATATCCACGAGGCTTGAGTGCTTCTCTTGCTCTTTCTGGGCTTCCTAACTCAAGGTGGCAAGATGCAAAACACATTTTATTTGCAAAAACTCACCTAAGAAATACTTTGGGGTGGCAGGGGCTTAGAACTGAGGTGGATCCTTAACAGAGAGCTTAGTTCAGCCCTTCACCAGGGTGGGAGTGGTAGGGACAAGAAGTTCTGTGTCTACCTCCCCCTCCCCCTAATACTGATTAGAGAGTTTGGTCCCCACTGGGCCAGGGCAAGAAAGGAGAATGAGGCCAGGCCAACATCTTCATTCCCGGCGACTACGAACCCTTCACTTTGGTGAGCAACCTGTGGTGGGAATGGAAGGAAAGAGAAACACAGAAAACTGGGGTAGGCTGGTAGGAGGGCTTCCTGAGCAAGCAAGGGTAGTGGTAGCAAGGCTGGTAGTCCTGGGTTAGTAGCGGTGCTTATGCAGAGAGCGCGGCCTCTGGGTCAGAAAGCTACACATGGACTAAATAAATACAACATCTTTATTTGGCATTGGGTATCCTGACATTTGTTCATTACAGTTCCTTAGAAAACCAACCAAAAAATCAGAACAAATTAATCAAAAAATAAAGATCCAATGGCCCTATTTACATATTGCAGACAGTCCAGGCATCTCCCATGCACACGCACACGCATGCGTAAGCAGACACAGACGCACACATACTCTGGGACACGGTTAAGGAAGGGGTTAATAAGCTTTGGGGAGTGCAGGGGGCAGGCTCCACAGTTCAACTCTTAAGATACCCCTTCTTCATGAAGTAAGGGCGCCCTGTACAGCCAACTGGGGAGGCAAGAGTGGGATTGGCAGCTTTATTTTTCCTTTCTGGACTTCTCAGAAAGTAATCCTGCACTGGCAACTGCCAGTGTCTTAAACTGAATGAGATTCAGCCACCTCAAGAACCACCCCTCCCCACTTCCCCCATATAATGGATCATCAATGATCTGATTACACTACGAATCCCCAAATCATCAAAACAAAAATGCCCCCTACTGCACCCTCCCCCAGAAGGGCTGACAGATCGAGCCTCCTCCTCCCCCAAGGTGCTCTCTACAGGCCCAGATTCAAGGCCCTTGCTCCAAGAGCCTGTGTCAGGGAAGCTGCCCCAAGGCCACATGAGAGACTGAGCTGCTAACATGATCCAGAGTACTGGTAAGGGAGGAATAAAGGCCTCAAATGATAGGAAGCTGAACCCCACAGGGAGGCATTAGTCATTACTGAAGAGCTGCCGACTTGTCCAGTCTGTCCTTACCAAAGGATAACCAGGAAGGACTGTCCCAGGCATTAGAGACAGGACTCCTCCCACACATGGGGGTGTGCAGACAAAGAAGGCCTTGAATGACAATACCCCTAACCCTGTCCCCAAAGAGGTTCAACTGCAGTAGAGGAAGCAGGTCTAAAAACCCTTTCCAGGGGAAGGGGTTCAGTCTCTCTGGCCCTGGTCCCATGCCCTTCCGGAAGTCTCAATGATCTGGAAGAAAAGACCATCTTCCAACCAGAGAGGAGCCAGGTCCCATTGACGACTCAGGTCCTGCAGATGCCCAACACCCTCCACCCCATCCCCCTCCCCATCTCCCCCCACTGCCACTAGCCCTCACTTTACCAGCACTGACTTTGGCAGGAAGGGCTCCGTGATGTGGTCTCCACGGTGGGAGGACAGCTGCGGTGGCGGTGGCTGCCCCGGAGGCTGCTGGTGAATGCAGGGCCCAGAGGCAGCAGGGGAGGCAGAAGTGAAAGCTATGGCTTTGACTGCACTTCGGGGAAGGCTGTAGAGGTAGACAGCACCGATGACAAGCCCAGCGCCAAGGGCAAATAATGGGTCCAGGTGAAAGCCAAAAAGGCGAATGGAGGCCACAGTGGACAGCACAATGGATAGGGAGGTGGCAAAGCCCTTGAGGATGTTGTCAGCATACTTGACAACGACAGCCACTAGCAGCCCACCAAAGGCCTGGTTGAGTACCACACCCCAGACAGCAGGTGTGTATCCAAAGAAGAAGCCACGGTGGGCCACAGCGCTGCCCTCGGCCCACCAGAGCCCCACCAGGCCCAGGGCCGTGCCAAAGAGGCCCAGTTGCAAGTTGCGCAGCCACACAGAGCCTGAGCTGCCTTTGAGGATCTTCTCAAAGTAGACACCTGCGAAGCCCGAGGAGAGGCAGGAGGCCACAACAGCTGCTAGGCCTGCCCCGGGGTTCTGATCCAGTGGCCGTGGGCCGCCGCCACCGGCTTGCTGTGCCTGGACAATGGCGACGCCAGTGAAGAGCAGCAGCAGGGAGGCCCACTGTAGCCGGGAGAGGCTGCGGTTCAGCATGAGCACAGAGAACAGTGCTGTGGTCAGGATCTTCAGCTGGTACGTCACCTGCGAGTGCATGTGCAAAGTGCTGAAGGCTGACAGGACACTGGCAGGTGCACAATGGGACAACACCCACTCCAACAAAATGGAGAAATGGGGTGGGGTAGAGGACAATAAAACCAGCAAAAATAGCCAGCTACTGGCCACTGGCTGAATTGAGACTATGTGGGTCTAGAGACCCTTCCAGAGAGTACACAGAAGGGTGGCTGTGTCAGGAAATTCTAAGCCACATCCCAATTCCATTTCCTCCTGTGTGACCAGGGACAAGGCACTTGCCTAGTCTGAGCCCTGGCAATGTCATCTGTAAAGTAAGGCTGATGCATGTGGAAGACCTTGCAAAAGATAACGAATCATCCACAACAAAGCCAGCAAATATTTATATAGTACTATGTGCTAATATGTATCTGAGCACTATCTGTGAACTAGTTTATTTAATCCTTGCAACCAGCTTAGGAAGAGGACACCACAATAATCCCCAATTTATTTATTTTTATATTTGTTTGTTTTTGGTACTGAGGATCGAACTCGGGACCTTGCGCTTGCGAGGTAGGTGCTGGAACCACTGAGCTAAATCCCCAGCCCCTATATTTTTGTTTTTTGAGACAGGGTCTCACTATGACGTTCAGGCTGGCCCCAAACTTGCAGCAATCCTGCTGCCCCAGCCTCCTGAGCGCTAGGATTACAATTGTACACCACCATATTCAGCAATAATCCCCAATTTAAAGATGAACAAACCATGCCATGAGCAGTGGTGCATATCTGTAACTCCAGCCACTCGAGAGGCTGAGCCAGGTCGAAGCTAGACTTGGCAACTTAGTAAAATCCTGTCTTAAAAGTAAAAAGGGCTGGGATGTAGCTCAGTGGTGGAGTGCCTGACTAGCATGCACAAGGCCCTGAGTTCCACTCCTAGTACTAGTACTGCAAAATATAGATAGATGATAGATAAATAGATAGATAGATAGATAGATAGATAGATAGATAGATAGATAGATAGATAGAGCCAGGGATTTAGCTCAGTGGCGCTGTGCCTGCCTTGCAAGCGAAAGGTCCTGAGTTAGATCCCTTGTATTGGGGGGGGGGGGGCGCGACAAGATAGATAGATAGATAGATAGATAAACAAACACACAAACTAAGGCACAGAGAAGTTAGGAGACTTGCCCCAAAATCACATCAAGAGAAAAAAGCTGAGCTGAGATTTGAAACCAGCAACCCAACCCCAGAATCCAGGCTCTTTAACCATTTCACAAAGTTGCCCAGGAATAGCTTCAGTCTTATTGATGGCCAACCAAGGACTCTTCCCTGGCATCTCTCTCAGTCACCTCCAGCATCCGTCCTAAGCAGGTATTACTACTTCTATTCGAAGTTCTCACAGATGAGGAAACCCAGGTTAAAGGAGTTCCAGGGACATTCTGAAAGTAACTCAGCTCTCAGCAACCTCCTCCCTCCCCACCCTATATACCCCAATGTAGGCAGCCCCCTGGGGCCACGGTGGGCTTGGAGCTCACCTGGAAAGTGGCAGCTGGCAGGTTGGAGATGGCAACATACTGGAGGTTATTCTGCAAGGTGTAAATGAGAGAGGGAACCGCAAGTTTGAGCGTGTCCACATACTGCACCAGGACAGCCTCGTGGAGGAACAGAATCAGGTGCTTCACGTTACCTAGGGTGGGAGGAAGAGAAACCTCAAAAGTGTGGTCTACCAAAGATGGGATCCCCTGAAGGCTGGGACAAGGTCCTCTGCCCTCCCGCACAACTCGCTGGGAGCCAGAATGAGGTCTGTGCGTCATTTTTTTTTTTCTTTTTTCATTTGTATGTGTGGGGACGTGAGTGTGTGTGCTAGGAATGGAACCCAGGGCTTTGCACATGCCAGGCTCACACATGACCACCGAGTTATACCCCTAGATTCAGGTTCAGTTTCCCTAACAGTACAACCATGTCTTTAGGAACCCTTGCTGGTATTTAGTTTAAAGGCTGAGCCGGGGATTCAGCTCAGTGGTGCCGCTGCCTGCCTCTCATGCCCAAGGTCCTGAGTTCCATACCTAGTACCGAAAAAAAAAGAAAAAATTTAAAAAAGGCTTAAGAGGGGCTGGGGGCGTAGCTCAGAGGCAGAGCACTTGCCTGGCAGGTATGAGGCCCTAAGTCCTACCCCTATTACTGCAAAAAAAAAAAAAAAAAAAGAAAAAGAAAAAACCAAAACAGTACAAAAAGCCAAAAAAGAAATCATCTACCACAATGTGTTTGCTAACCACAGAACACAATTCACTCATCTGAGTGCCTACTTCCTTGCCATAGAGTCCTGTGCAGGGCAAGCAAACAGTACATGCTTGTACAATAAAATAATCACTACAGCCAGGCAAGGTGGCACACACCTATAATCCCAGCACTTGGGAGGCTGAGGCAGGAGGATCACGGAGGCCAGCCTGGGCTACACAGTGAGTTCAAGGCCAGCCTGGACTACAAAGCAAGACACTGTCTCAAAACAAAAAAAAATAATAATCATCATCACTATCTATGACAGTGGTGGAGAAACTATGGGACATGTGCTGCAGTGGGCTGTTTGTCTCACTGAAAGTTGTAAAAGGTTTGCTGTCACTGATCTAGTACCTTATTAAGTACAAGCCCTGAGTCTGGGTGGAAGGCTGGATTTTCATTTACTTGTTTTTGGTACTGGGGACTGAACCCAGGGCTTCCGGGTATGCTAAGCACACGCTCTACCACTGAGCTACACCCCTGATCCTAGACTTGATTTTTTAAAAAATGTATTATTAGTTTTTGGTACTGAGGATTGAACCAAGGGAGCTACATTCACAGCCTCCCCTCCTTTTTTTTTTTTTTTTTTGGTACCAGGAATTGAACTCAGGGCCTCGTGCTTGCCTGGCAGGCACTGTAGTTCAATGCTGAACTACATTTCTGGCCTTCTCCCTCCCTCCCTTCCTTCCTTATTTCCACTCCTTTATTTTGAGACAGGGGATCACTATATTGCCTAGGCTGGGTGGAACTCACGATCCTCCTGCCTCAGCCTCCTGAGTAGCTGAGATTACAGACATGTACCACTGCACCTGGCTAGATTTGACTTTTCCACTTTTCCTAACTCTTTAGCATCCCATGAGCCACCTAAGGGCAGAGGCCATCTCCCACCTAGGTGCGTCTTTCTTTTTTTTTTTGTACCAGGGATCAAACTCAGGACCTTCAGCTTGTGAGACAGGTGGGCACCACTGAGCTAAATCCCTGGCCCCCAGGTACATCTTTCTGTAAGCCCTAGACCCACCAAGGAGTTGCTCCTACTCCATGGACACATGCAGTCTTGACCATTAAGCAGTTTGATTGGGACCTGATCAAATGGAAAGCTGAGAATCATTTCTTATATAATAGGGCATTTGCAAAGCTCACCCAACTTTTTTAGGGAGGGTGTTGGATATTTAACCCAGGCCCTGTGCATGCCAAGCAAAAGTGCTACCACTGAGCCACACCCAGCCCCACACTACTTTTTTATAGTTCATCTGAGGAGGAGGGCTACTTCTTGGAGAAGACTCTCATAATCACTGCACAAGGTTGCCCTGGGAACTCCTGCTGGTACTCATTCACAAAACCCTGCTCTTGCCCTTTGAGGCACTCATCTTGGGTCTCTAACCTCATTTTTCAAGTGTTAAAAAGGTAAATGGTGTACATACCATAGATCACATCACAGACCCCACATAGAACTGCACACCATAAACATGCACATTCATATTTCTGTGGTGAATTGCTTGAATACTCCCATCAAATGATAAAAAGAAGCACAAATCCACCAAGAGCCCCACATCAGGTCAAGTCAGGCCTCTTTCTTTCTTTCTCTTCTTTCCTTCTTTCTCTCTTTTTTTTAAGAGTAGGAAAATTTACTGGGGAATAAGAATAGGGAATAGAAATGTGGAATAAGAATAGCTCCTGAGAGACAGGAGGGGTCCTGAATAGGTTGCCCTCTTTCTTCCTTCTTTTTTCTTGGGCAGGGCTGGGATCTAATCCAGGCCCATGCCCATACTGGGCAAAGTGTTCTATCACTGAGCTTCCTCCTAGGCCCTAGGCTAGATTTCACCACCAAACTACTTCAGAGAAAAACAAATGTAGCTGGGCGTAGTGGTGTGCCTGAAGTTCCAGGTACCAGGGAGGTTGTGGTGGGAGGATTCCTTGAGCCCACATGTTTGCACTCAAGGCCAGCCTGGGCAGCATAGTGAGACACCATCTCAAATAAAAGAAAAACCAATTGAAATTGTGGATAAGAGCTGAAGACATGTGATGAAGTCTGTAGCTATCTATGACTTTCCATCTCAAATATCAGCTTCAGAAAGCAAGACGTGTGCCTGTGTTGCTAACACATCTACGTCCATGGTCTGATGCAGGGTTCCTTCCTAAATGTCTATAGAATCAATCAAGAAAATAGCAGCTTCCTAAACAGCTGCTTCCCAGGCTCCTGGAGTTCAGGTGTGGGTAAGAATGTTTTCTTCGGGGCGGGGATTTATCTCAGTGGTTCTGGCGCCTGCCTCACAAGCACAAGGACCTGAGTTCAATCCCCGGTACCAAAAAAAAAAAAGGTTTTCTTCAACAGTATCATGGGCCAATCTGCCCAATTCACCTCTATTCTCTGCATACTAAAGGCCTTGCAAGAGAAACAACTTGACAACATCTCAAAGGGGAAGGTCATCAGGGAAAGGTTCAAATTAGTAGATAAACCTAACCCCCAACTTTGAGGAAATATGGACAGGATCTGTTAAAAGATACCACAGAGATGAGTTCCATCCCCGGTACCAAAAAAGATACCACAGAGAGGCAGTCAGGAGAATCTCAATTACCCAAAGTCTATAATAAAAATGACCTGATTTCTTCAATAAATTTATTGCAAGGAGAAAAAAAAACTGTTTGTTTTTTGAGGGGATAGAGTCTTGCTATGTTGCCCAGGCTACCCTCAAACTCCTAGGCCCAAGTGATCCTCTGGCCTCAGCCTCCCAAGAAGCTGAGAATAGAGGTGCACACCACATCTGCTTGGCGTTATACTTAAAAATAATTTATTCATGATGTGGGGGAATTTCCTTCAAAATAATAAGGGGAATACATAGAAATGTAGATTAGCAGTGAGTGAATAATCATTGATACTGTTTCATGGCCACTGTGCCAGGAAGTGAAGTGGTAACTATGAACTTGGAGGATGGGTACACGGATATTTTACTATTTTATTATTCTTTTCAATGTTGTATATGTTTGGAATTCTCCATAATACAAAGTTAAAGGTAAGTCAATCAATCACTGTGTGAGCCCTCTGCTACCTTGTGGCAGACCGCGTCACTCCTCCAGCTCCTTGGGTATTAGGGTTATAAAAGCAGATGCAGCTACTCACAGCTTGGGGAAGAAGGATGCTTTGCTGCACTCACATACTCCCCAGGCAGGCTTCCAGCACCAGAATACTCCCCCAGCAAGCCCTCCAGAAGAGCGCACACACACACACACACACACATACACACACACACACACATATATACATGGGGAGTCCCACCCACCGACCCCCCCTCCCTGGCTCGTACCCCTCTTCTGTGCGAAGAGCAGCAGGAGGCAGGTGAGACCTTTGAGCACTTCGGCCATGACCACAGCAGTGGTGGCAAAGAAGCGGTCACCAGGAAGCGTGCGGGCGTAGCGGATGCTGAGGATGAGGGAGGCATTCTGGACCACCAGCACGGCTAGGGATATGTACTTGAGGCGCCGGTGAGCTGTGGGGAATGGAAGGGGCAGGGAGGAAGGGGGGGTCAGAAGCTCCTGGGGCATAGCCGCACCACCAACCACCCCTTCTCCTTTCTCAGTCAGGATCCTCTTGGCCATCACAACTTCCTCCCTCTTCCTGCCCTCCCTGACCCAATGACAGTCAGACTCCTATCTGCTTCCACTCTCTCAGCTACAGGCAGGAAAAGCCAGAAAGGAAGAAAGGGGCCCCACTCTGTCCATCCCATACCTGAAATCCATGCTAAAGTGTCAGGACAGGCCCTGGACACCCTCCCCTGCTCCCTCTCTCCCTGTCCTGAGAAACAACTCATTCCCAGACAGAATACCAATGATATTCTCAACATGTAACGAGTTCTTCATGTGTGCCTATCACAGGGCTAATGGATTATAGATTACCTCAAGAGAATTTTACATTGCTCTCATCTCTGAAGGAACTGAGGATTCCCATTTTGTGGATAAGCCAACTGTGGATTTACATGAAATGATTCTATTTAACAAGGGACTGTCTCATGTGAATAATCTCCAAGTGTGGAGAATGGGACCATTGTATAAAGTATGTCCACCCCTAAGGAATGGTATTTCTTCCATCTCCCTTATTGTCTCAAGGATTGAACCCTATATAATGAACAGTTATCCCACCAAGACTGGTCTGGTTTCTCCAAGCATGTAAGGAAATACTTCTCTATATTCCACAGTCTATCTTTCCACCACTGCACACTGTTCTTCCCTAACCAAAGAACAATCCCTTGTTCAAACCACACTCACAATGAACTCTCTCTGCTATAAGAAAGAACCTGGCATCCTCAGAATGTTCCTTCTCTGACATAAGGAAGGGCCCTCCCACCTCAATTTACAAGGAACCATAATTCCAGTAAGAAGGAGCCTCCCCTGAACAGTCTTCTCAAATATAATGAAAGACATCCTCATCCTCAAAATGGATCCACTAGTCATATAAAGAATCTGCCCCACCCTAACAACTTATGAGGTTCTTTTATGAGGAAGGAACCACTAGCCTCAGAATAATCTTTCCTTTCTATAAAGAACTCTCAAGCCCTTAGAATAGACTCTCCCTTCCATAAGGAAGGACCCTACTACACTCAGAATATCGGTGGTCTTAGTTTCCTCAAAAGGAAATTCCCTCCACATTCAGAATGATCTCTGCTCTGCAAATGTGGAAGAAGCCATCCCACAACCACCGTCAGAATGGTCCCTTCCCCTTCCCCACCACACTCACAATGGTCTGTTCCGTCTTCCCTTCCTCCCTACAACACACACATACACGCGCGCACACACACACACACACATATACACACACATACAGAAGTCGTCCACACGGGATGCTTCCCTGCCATTTCAGTGAGGAACCTTTCCGATCCTCAGCGATCCCGACCTCTGCCCCGCCGCCGTCTGCTCGGCCACAGCCCGTCTCACCCGCATTCGCGGTCCCAGGCTCCAACGACCCCGTAGTGACTGCCCCTGGCCCAGCCGCCGCGGTAGAACCGCCAACCCCAACCGCTGCCATGTTGGCATCTGCCCGGCCTGTCCCCTCGGCAACAGCAGGCCACTTCCGTGTCCGTCACTTCCACTTCCGGCCCCCCGGAATGGGTGTGGGGCAAGTTCCAGGGCGGCCAAGTCGACTTTTCTTCGTCTGCTTCTGAAGGCTAAATCCAAAAGTGGCCTGCACGGAATTTCCAAATCTTAAATTCTGTTCTACGGAGACACCCCAGGACAATGGCGGCTCCGTCTCCAGCTGCCTTTACAAAACCTCATTGGACCATTGGTCATACTAGACCCGCCCCCTCTCCGTTCATCCGCTCCGCTGAACCCATTCCTCATATAGCCCGCCCCCTTTATCTTCTGGTCCCATTGGTTCGGCTACCCCTCTATCTCGAATCTTCATTGGCACCGTCTTTCGACGGCACCACCCCTTCCGCATTATAAACTCCTAGGTACGTGTTGATTGGTCTGAAGTTCCTCTTTCCATTTTCCCAGCGAGACCCCACCCCTGGAGAACCCATGGCTACCTGGGTGGGATGTGACTTTGAGGGGCACGGCAGGCCAGGCCAAGTTGGTGATCAAGGAATTGAAAGCAGGGGATGAGGGCACCGCAGGTGAGTTGAGGGATTTGAGGGTGAACATATAAGGGGAAGACAAAGGAGGGTTTAGATCGGGCAAAACAGCCAACTACACCCTGTAATTATTAAAACCAACGTTAGAGCTAGGACTGCCAGGCCACACTGTCCATGAAAGGGCCTTCCTTTAACTGGGATTTCTCCCTCCTTCGGGGTTAGAAGGAAAGTGCAATTGTCTGAACTGGCTCTTTGGAGGTGCAGGTTAAACTTCCTTAATGTCTACAATAAGAACTCTTTGGGGAATACAGTAAGACTGAGGCTTTCAAGTGAGCAAAGGAGCACCGGGCTCTCGCCTGTAATCCCAGCACTAAGGCTGAGGCCACATTAAGTCAGTTCAGGGTCAGCCTGAACTACAGCGTGCACAGAACAAAACAAAAACCAAGGAGCAAAGGAGAAGAGAAGTCTAGCCATCTCCTTCTGGGCTCAGCACACAGTCTCCTTTGATTTTATTACTTTTATTAAATAGTGGGTTTCCACACATGGCTTTTTAAATAATCCAGGCAGGGGAGAAGGGATAGGAGGATACACTTTTAGCTCCCCTCCCTCTAGTACACAAGTATTTACATTTTAGCAGTTGGACAATCCTGACTCAGGAGGAGGCAGCTAAAATTTGCAAAAAGTTAGAGGAGGGGGTAGGAGAACATACAGTGAGACTTATTTCCCCTAGCCCATCCCCCCAAAACCATCCATCCCATCCTAGTCTCTGGTGGCATCAGGTGGTATCCATCTCCCATTCCTTCCTAAAATGTGGAAGTAAAGTTCTTCTCACCAGAATAAGAGCACTTGGGGTAACAGTGGGGTCCCCTCACCAAAAAAGAAAGAAAAAAGAAAGAACCCTGGGATAACCTGGGCATTACCTCCCCCAGAATAAGCAATTCTGGGTGGAGGCAGGCAGGCAGGCAGGCAGGCAGGCAGGCAGGCAAGCAGCGTGACCGAATACGGGACCCTAGGCCAGGGAAAGGGTCCTTTTGCGAAAAGAGCTGCTGGGTATTTTAAGGAAAGCACCCTTGCCCAAGTTAAGAGCATTTAAACTAAGTTCATGTGGTGGTAGGAGGAGGTGCCAGTGTAGGAGTTACAATTTGTCAAAATAAGAATCCTGGGGCTCAGAAGGGAAATAACTTCAATCAGTAACATCCTTAGTAAAACAACAAACAAAGAATCCCCCCTTCCAGAATAAAGGACCACAGGTTCTGGGAGAAAGGCTCCTTCACAGGATTAGGATGGAGACTGGGTAGACTTGGCTTGTCTTCTGACCCCTCATCCCCAATCCCTGACCTTAGTAATACTGGATTTTTGAATAACCTGTAAAACCAGGTCAACAGATGTCCATCTATCCCTGTGGCATAGCCATGGGATTCCAACCAGTGGGAGCCTGGCTAGGCCTAGGGAAGCAGGGACCAAGCCAAGGAGGTGGGATTTGCTTTGGGGGCGTTGAGAGGGGCTTCCTCAGCTGGTGTTTGCATCCAGGGGTCCAGCAGGATCTCCTCCAGTGAGGGTCGGGAAGAGGGTTTGGGCGCCAGGCACCGGCGGATTAGGGCACAGCAGTCTGTGGGTTAAGAAGCACAGGGGAGATTAATAGTTAGTAGGAATACCAGTCCCTGAGAGGGATGGAGTCAGGTGAGCTGGGTTCTGTGAGGTCCTCACCTGGGGAGAGGTGGGCAGGGAAGTGGAGCTCAGCCTCGAGAATCTCCTGGTCCCTCTCGAAGGGAATGTCTCCACACACCATGTCATAGAGGAGGATCCCCAGTGACCAGACAGTAGCCGGGAGGGCATGGTATTGGTGTCGAGAAATCCACTCTGGAGGGCTGTACACCCTTGTCCCTGCACACAAGCCTAGGATTACTTCACTCTGAGGATGCCCTCCTACCCCCACTTTCCTGAAGCATAGCACTCATCCAGAGCAAGGTCTCCTTACTGGAATAGTAGGTCTATAATTAGGAAAGCAAGGTCCCATCACCACAAAAAGTAGTTACAGCAGGCGAAGTCCCTTCAACAGAATAAAGCACTGACAAAGAACACTCAGGACAACAGATCTCACCAGAGTTAGGTGTCCAGACAGAACAAGGTTAGGGCACTGTCAGAAGATGGACTTATCAGGGGACCGGGCCTCAGAATCCCCAGTATTAGAAATCACAACTCAAAACCCCTTTGTGCCACATGCTGGTAACCACAGCACTCTTGAGGGGCTGAGGCAAGAAGAGCGTGAAGTTAAGCCCAGCCTGGGCAACTTAATGAGCCCCTATCTCAAAATAAAAGGGCTGAGAATGTAAGGTCAGTGTGAAGGCCCTAGGTTCAATCCCCATTACAAAACAAAAGACCTCATAAAGATAGCATATAGGGGGCCAGGAATTTAGCTCAGTGGTTCCACTGCCTGCCCTGCAAGCCCAAGGACCCAGAGTTCAATCCCTGATACCAAAAGATACCATGTAGGTCAAATGTTCTAAGAGAACCCACCACTGCAGCTCAAAGGTCAGGAGGCCAAGAAGATTAAAAGTTAAAAGCACTGACTGACCCCCTCCCATGAGATTTAGGAAAGCCTTACCATCAAAGTCAGTGTAGGGTTCGTCATGGAGCAGGGCACCAGAACCAAAATCAATGAGTTTGGCACAACCTCGGCGGAGGTCTATGAGGATGTTCTCATCCTTGATGTCACGATGGACAACCCCACGGGCATGGCAGTGCTGGACAGCTGCCACTACCTGGGCGAAGAAGCAGCGACTTCGGGTTTCCCCCAGGGGGCCCTTCTCTGTGATGTAGTCAAAGAGATCCTGGGCGGGCAGAGGGCGCTCGAGGACCAGCATGAAGCCCTCTGGTGTTTCAAACCAGTCAAGGAGGCGGATGACACCAGGGTGCCCACTGCCTTCACCCACCTTCCATAGCAGTGCCACTTCGAGAGGGCATGAGACTGAGTCCGACTGAGATGGAGAGGAAAGAAGGCAGATGTCAAACCGGTATCTGAGGCAAACAAGGTCAAACCATAGCCCCTCCTTTGGCCTTCTGACTGCAGACCTGAACCCACTTCCCTTCTGGATCTCAGTATTTTCAGCTTAAGAGCTCTAACTAAAACAGTCATTGGGGTGAGCAGAGAAAAGCTTACATACACCTGGTGCATAGTAGCTCAGTAAATATTTGAATAGATGGAAGTCTCTTTTTTTTTTTTTGGTACCAGGGATCAAACTCAGGACCTTGTGCTTTCGAGGTAGAAGGCGGCACCACTGAGCTAAATCCCCGGCCCTAAATGGAAGTTTCTTAACCAAAGGCCTTCTTCAGCAGAAGCACTTTTATGTAGTATGGTTTATTTTCTTCAGGGGTACATCTGAAGCACCAGCAGTGCCTGATACAGGGCAGAACTCAATTTTTGTTAAACAGGTAAGACCAGTCAGTAGAAAGGGACAGAGCATAAAATGGGTGTAGCACCGTGACTGTCATATAGTAAGTCCCTCGTTTTCATTATAGCTAAAAGTGATTAATTACTAAGGCCCTAGCAGAGTAAAAAATCAGTAAATATTATCATGTGCTATTCCGTCACTGCCACAAAGCACCTAGAACCGTTCATTCAATAACTCCAAGCACCCTGTAAGTACAACGACCACCAGAAAGAACCTTCCTGCACGAGGTGGGGCCCTCTACCGGCCACGCCGATGACTTGCACAGCCGCAGACAGGTTTTCTCAGAGATTTAAACGCCTTGACATGGCTCATGCACACCCTTCTTTCTCCTGGGTCTCACGGGCTGCGCAGGCGCAGTCTCCAAAAAAGCCCGACAGAGGGCGCGCTCAACCGTACTAACCCAGACCCACCCTGATGTCCCTTAGCTCTCTAACAGCGAAGAGAAGCAGGCAGTATCACCATGGCAACCAGTGACCTCTGCCCCTCTTTCCCCAGCAGCATGCCCTGTGGGCAGCCCCTGAAGCGGTGCTTGAAAGGAGGACTGATAGCAGAGTTGAAGGGGAGAATCCGAAGCTCTGGGGGAAATTCAGGTGAATCAGAACTGTGTCACCCCAAGAGAGTAAACGTGGGATGGTGGAAATATTCTCACCGTTATGCGGCCCAGGGAGTCACATGCCCTAGAAAAGCAAGGGGGTGCGTTCATAATCACAAATGGAGCCGACAGGTCAAGGACACCAAAGATACTCACGAGAGGGGACCAGCCCAGCACACGATTCCGAGGGATCACTTTGATGGCCACCTGAAGAAGAGGACCAAATTAAGGGGGCCATGTAGGTGACCCCCCACCCCCGGTCTCCCACTCTAGACACTGCACACCTCCGATGCCCCTCCATCTTCCAGCAATCTAGTATTCTGGTCCCCATCTCGCCACACCCCAAAACGAAGCAGGGCTTTTCCCCCTGCCTTCCAGGTGCCCAGAATCAAGTTCATCTCTCTCGCCGCCCTTAACCCTGTGCTCTCTTCTGGGCTGAGTTTTTTCCTCTCTTTACTCTTTCCTTGCAGTAGTGGGGACTGAACCCAGGGCCTCACATGCTAGTCAATCACTCTACTACTGACCTACATCCCCAACACTTTCTTAAAAAAAAAATATTTTTTTTGCGGTGTTGGAAATCGAACCCAGGGCCTTGTCTATGCTAGGCAAGTGCTCTACAACTGAGCTATATATCCTAACCCCTGAACTGCAAATTTCTTGAAAGCCCAACTCTGTACCAGGATCCTGGTCCTCAGCAGTCCACACTGAAAGCCTATGCCCAAACTCCCACAATCTGGGCCTGAAAGCCCCACATTCTCGCATATACAAACATTCATTTCTTGGATCCATGGGTCTAGAGTCCTTAAGAACTCCCCTAGTGTAATTCCCTGGACCTCCTGAATCCCTGCTCTGACCCCACATATCCACCTGGAGCCTCAAAGACACGGATGTTCACACCCCCCACCAAACCGGAGCCTGGTCGGTCCTCATGACCCTACTACTCACATTACAGGCTCCCTCTCAGATCAACCAGCATCCCAGAAACACAAGGCCCCTGTCCCCACCAAACACACCTGACCCTCCCAAGAACCTCGTTGTAGATACAGTACCTGGAGTCGATCCGTGACGCGGTGTCCTGCGAAGACAGTGCCAAAGCCCCCCTTACCCAGGAGGGGGCCGAGTCGATATTCGGCCTCGAACGCTTCCCGATCCTTGCCTCCTACGCAGGCGGAGGCGAAGAAGTCAGGGTGATGGCGTGCTGAGCCAGGCCGTGCCTTCCTCCCCCGACCCCGGACCGCCACCCACCATTACAGCCCACCCCACCAGATCACGGTAGGGGAGGCTGCGCTCACCTGGCGGCAGTGTAGGGGTCACGGGGGGCGCAGAAAGCCCCTGCAGAGGCTTGGTCAACATGGAGGAGGCGCTGCGCAGATTGAGCCCGCTGAATCCGCTGAGCCCGCAGGGCGTGGAGGCCCGGGGCAGCGCGGCTGGGGAGCCAGGGCTGGGGGGCGCCAGGGTGGAAGGCAAGGAAATTGGTGGTCCGGAAGCACCCACAGACGGCGCAGCCTTGAGACTCACCGCGCGCGCCAGCCCCAAAGCTACTGAGCTGGGGCACGCGCCTCCCGGGAGAGTCGCCCTTCGCGACGGCCCCGCCCACCTGGCTTTGATCAATAAGGACGCGGCACCTGCTGTACCCCAGCCAATCGGAGCCAGTCCTAATTTGCATACCATCCTCAATGTTTCAAGTGTCCCTTATGCAAATACAAGCCTGGCCCTTCCACGGAGGCGGGGCCTGCTTGCAAATGATGGGGGCACACAAGAAGAGGAAACTGGTTCTGGGAATCCCTTTGCAGCAATCGTTTGTTTTGGTTGTTGCGCGGGGTTGGTGGTAGTGGTGGTGGTGGGGTGTGTACACGTATACACTTAATAAAATAACTACGCAGCCTCTAGGAAGCAGGTTTGCTGCTGCCTTGAGATTAGCGCGGAGATTATGCTAGGCTGGCTTTAAGATTCCCAGCCTGGGGATAACCAGAGCTACTGTCCTACAGGCGGATGTAGGCCCTCACCTCAAAAGTGAAATCTCTCCCCTTGAACCTGACCAGTCTCCGGAGAGGAGTAACACCCTTGACCACCACCACGAGGGGCAGCCAGTCAAAGGCTAAATTCTGGCTCCAGGAGGCAATGATCTGTGGCTTTGGCAGCCTTTAACCTAAACAGGCTTAGCTAGATAAGGGTGCTGGCCCAGTTGGCAGGTGTAGAATCTACAGCCCGGGGTGGTCTTGGGGGGAGGGGCTGTGCTTCAGCGTGAGGGAGACGGCACTGAGAGCTTGGTAGAGCCTACCAGAAGTAAACAGCCTTAGGTGCTGATTTGTGAGATTTGCCTCAGGCAGACACTTCAAAGACACAGAAAAGCCGTAAGATATTTACACACAGACATATTCATGTGAACTTGTCCTGGTCACACAAGCAGACACACTGTCAGGAAAGATAATGTCGCAGAAATCACAGAAATAGAGGCAGGAACTCCAGAGATTCACATAGACCTACACTGCCATGTCATGACACAAAAATGTCCTGCCACAGTAACAAACTTGTCACACACTAACACCATCAGATACTGTCACAGAAAGCTTGTACTGTCCTAGAAATGAGGGACCCAGAGTCTCTCACAAGAACATACACAGATGCTTCAGAGACATACATGAATTGCTCAAAGGCAGGCATGAAGTGAGAGAACTCAATAGGGATTGTCACCAAAGTGGACATGGATAGACCTGGTCAGGTCACATACATCAGACATGCAGCTTTGTCACTGACACTGTCTAAAAGTAGCTACCTAGAATCTGTCACAGAAATACAATCGGACATCAATCCCAATCAGACAGAAACCACAGATGCACTGTCACAGACAAATGTGCGCAGACATGCACTTGTCTCAGACACAAACTGTCAGTCCCACACTCAATCACCATCTGACATACCTGGAAAGAAGCCCCTGTCACAAACGTGTCTGGGGACAGATACATATGAAAACTGTGGCTCATCAATGTCACACACTCGGACAACACTCAAAAAGCAAACGTATACATGTATTCTCCCTACTCATCCAGCATTACTGGAAGGTCTACCATCAGCCTACTAGGCCCTGGTGGAAGTACACATCTTACAGAGAAGTCAAGCATCACAATCCCTGCCCATGAAGTTTTATTTATTGTATAGTTATTGGGGATATTTGTAGATAGACGTGAAAATGTGAATGGGATCATACAGGGCCTCTGATGATGTCTTGAAAGACAAATAAGGTTGGTGGCCAAGGGCAGGGAAAGGGCATATTGCAGGTAGAAGCCAGGGAAATGGGACAGAGTGGCAAGAGGCAGGTAGAGTCCTAATGATACAGAAACTTGCACACTGGGATAATTAGTAATATCCACTAACATTCGTGAGTTCGGAATGTGTCAGGTACTGAGTTAACCATACATTCCCTGGAGATGCTCACAGCACACAGCCTAATGTAGCAGACACCAGTTTTGCCCCCGTAGTGCCGGTGGGACACTTGAAACTCGAGAGCCTAAGGCCACACAGTTAGAAAAGCCTGAGGTAGCTTTCAAATCAACCCTTTTAACAAAACTCAGGTGCGACCATTGTATTCCAGGCACCCTGCAGCCTGCCACACCCTCACCTACACCTGGAACACACACAGGGAACCCATATAAGGAAGGGACAGTGGGAAAACATGCTGTTTTGAGAAAACCTTGGGGGCAGCTGGCATTGGTTTTACCTCAAGGAGGGGTAAGGGAAAGAGGTGTCAGGAGGACTAGGGATACAAGAACAAAGGATTTAGCCATTTCATACTTCAGCTTCTAAAACCCAGCAGGGGAGGCTCCTCTGGTCACTTCCACCAAACTCATGTTGCTAATGAAGTGTCGGCAGTGCATTTCCAAAGCCTTTCCCCATCAGATTACCACAAGAAAGAAGCAAACACTGATAGTGAAGATGGGGGCAGGGTAGCTGGAATTCGGACAGGAAATTCAGTGTCTGCTCTCAGCCGTCAGTCCCCTGCTCCCATCTCCCCCAGCCCCCAGGAAACAGTGGGCTAGGGCAGGGGCAGAAGACAAAAGAGGGAGATTCTTTATGTTAATAGGCCCCAAAAGAGGCTTTTTTGTGGGTTTTCCTTTTGTTTTTAAGAGTCTTGCTGTGTTGTTGCCCAGGCTGGCCTGAACTCCTGGGCTCAAGTGGGCCTCTGGCCTCAGCTTCATGGATAGCTGGGACTACAGGTGCATGCGAGCATGCCTGACCAGAAGTTTAATAAGCATCAGATCACGTATGAACCCAGGGCCCCAGTCGGACCCTACTGGAAAGCATGTGCACCTCAGAGGTCAGGCCGGCCCTGTGCCTCCTCTTCCCAGAGGCCCGCCCACCACCTGGTCCCTGCCCTGGCTCCTGCCCCACACACAACAGAACTGCTCAGGAAAACTGACATTTGGTTTTATTGTGCCAAGGACATTACAGATGGATCTTGTCAACACCTGCAGGGCACGCATGCCCCATCTGCCAAGGCTCCTCCGACTCCCTACACTCCTGAGTGGCGGCCATGATCCCCCAAGCGCCCTCACCTCAAGATTCCAGACTAGTGGTGGTGGAAGCAAAAGGAATGCAGCAAGGTCAGGGTCTCATTGTCAAAAGCCAGTCTGACAACTGCCCCCCCCCCCGCTCCCCACCGACTCACATCCTAGGCCCTGTGCCCACCTCCAAGAAGCTGGAGGCCGGAAGACAGCGGTGTGCCCCTCCATGTCCCATGGCCAGCCTGCTGCCCCTAAACCAGAGATGCCACCTTCACAGAGCCAATGCTGTCTACATCATTTGATTGGTTGATTTTATAAGATAAAAGTACATTTTAATAAAGAAAAATTCAATATTGAAGGCTCAGACATTCTTGGGATACTGGGAAAAGAAATTTTTCACTTCTTCTTCCCAACTCCCTGACATAACTGTGAGGGGAGGGGCGACAAGTTGATCTGATCTCAGAAGGAAGAGCGGGCAGGAGACTTTCTTCCAAGCATCTCCTCTGGGGCTTGCCTGGCTGTCGGGTGGTCTGTGCCTGTCGCCTACCTTCGGCACCCTTGCCCGAGTCCCCTGTGGAATGCAGGGATGCTGCTGTGTGTGGGGCAACAGGGCACATCAGCTGGCGGAGAAGGGTGATTGTGGCAGCGATGGGGGAAGTACAGGGATGGGCCAGCCAGAGGACGGTGGGGCAGGGGGATGGGGAAAGGGAAAAAAGGGAAGGAGGCAAGAGGGAAGAAAGCCAAAGAAGGTGGGGTGGCACTGGAGGGCAGGAAGGGGTATTGGGGAATGGTGTCCAGTCCCCGGGTTTCCATCAACTCTTGTCTGGGGGAGGGTCTCTGTGCACTTTGTTTTTCTTCATACTGTCTAGGTATTCCTGTTGGGACACTGCCAGCACCGATGCTAGGATCTCATCATCATCCCAGTCGTTCAGACCTGCTGGGCAGGAGAGAAGAAAGAGATGTCGGGGCGCCAAGTCCCCCCACATTCACCTGTGGCTGATGCTTGCCTCTGGAGAATCCCACCCAGCCCTTCTCACTCCTCTCTCTAAAGAGAAGGCTCTCCAGGGCAAACAACCTGGGCCAGAAAAATTCTCCTAGCACCTCTGACTTTTTGAGATGGCCACAGTTTCCAGAAATCCCCGCTTGGGACTTGCTATCTTTTATTTTGGTACCGGTGATTGAACTCAGGACCTTGCGCTTGCGAGGCACGTGGCAGCATCACTGAGCTACATCCCTGACCCAGGACTTGCTATGTTTTCTAGTCCTTGCCCAACTGTCCCATCCCCAGAGGGGGCTTACCGAAGGCAGAGGGGGACATCTGCTGAATTAGGGCCCGGCACTCCAGAGCAGGGTAGAGGGACACAAGGGGGGAGGTGGCCCGGTCAGCCCCTGCTGAGAACTGACTGCTTGTACCTGGGACAGACAGACAGTCAGAGGCAGACTCAGGCTCCAGGCAGGGCCTAACCACAGCCACTCGTCCCAGGGGCGCACCACTGACCTGGTGCACAGGGTGAAGGAGGTTTGGCAAGAGCTAAGACAGTGCCTGGGGAAGGGGGCTTGATGCCCAGCTCAGCATGCAGCTCAGGGTGCTCGGGTGAAGAAGCTGAACTCCGCTGCCGTGGAGACCGGCTAGTCCACTCCTCCAGGCCACTGGAGGCTGCTGCTGTGGCCGAACTGCATGTGGCGCTGGCTTTCCGGGGCTGCCACAAGGAAGGAAAATATGGTAAAGGCCAGTGCCAGCCATGACCCTCCTGGGCCCCAGTGCCAAGTGTTCGCTCTCACCCGCTAATCCCAGCGACGACACAATGTCCATATCCACCACCATGGTTCCCACTCACATAGGGGATTGCAGGGCCCTCACAGGGCCCAATTTAAGCTCCTTAACATACCTCTTTCATCCGTGAAACCAACTGACAGGAGAGCCTATTTCTCCTCCCTTCAGTACAGACCCAGAGTCTAATTCTTTTCACCCCTCCACCACCAGTGCCACCACTATCACCTGGATTATGTGCAGCAGCCTTCTCACCAAGCCCTGCTTCCTTCCTCCATCCCAGACTCCAGTCTTGCACTCAGCACCCAGGGAGATTCTGCTAAATCCTCTGATCTGAGCCTCCCTCAGCTCAGAAACCTCTTTGTTTCCGCTATATTCCCAGTAAAACTCCTCAGCATACCCAACCCCCTAACCCACCTGGACTGGCCACCTCCCTGACTCCATGAACTATTCCGAATGCCTCCCTCTGAGCTGTGCCCGAATCACAGCAGTGTGCTTATGATTATTTTGTTTCACTCCGCAAAAATGTAATCACCACAAGGACAGTGGCTTTGGCCTGCCAGGCTCACCAACATATCCCGCTATACTGTACTTGAGTGTCCCTGGCATAGGACAACAATTTTGTGTGAGTGTGTGTGTGTGTGTGTGTGTGGTACTGGAGACTGAACCCAAGGCTACGTCTCCCATCCTTTATTTATTAGAGACTGGGTCTCACTAAGTTGCTAAGCTGTCTAGACGGTCTAGACTTGTGATCCTCTTGCCTCAGCCTCCCAGAGTACAGTGGGATTACATGCAACAAATATTTGTTGAACAAATTACTCAGCTCTGAACAACTTCTGCAATCACTCCAAACTCCTTGATTCCTCAGATGCCTGTCTTCCCTGCCCTCCCTGCCCTAACAATTCAACCTTTCTCTATGAAAAATGAATGGCCAGAGATTCCACTTCCCCAGCCAGGGTCACAGGCGCTGCTGATGGGTCTCATCTGTATCCCTCAATGGATGGGATCACCGAGGACAGTGCAGGCTGGATGTGATTTCACATTCTCAGCACAGAGCCTGGAATGCAAGGACATTCAACAAAATCTTCTCTCTGCAGCTATTCATTGCTCCCTGTGTTTCTGGCAGCAGTTGGCACTCTCACTCCGTAAGAGCTTGTTCTGTACAAGTGTTGGGTGTTCTACAGCACAATGCCAAACTAAGCCCAACTTGTTAAAAATGGGGCTGAGAGTGTCCCTCTCTCCTGGGTGTCAGGACCACTTAACTTTTCTCCCGTCCATCTGGGTGCAAAGTATGGGAAATAGTGGGTTTGTGGCCAGGCCAGTGACAGAGCCCATTACTTACCTGGCTGGGCCCACGGACCTGGCGGGCTTGTTTCTCCTGATCCCTGAGCCACTGCAGGTAGGACTCACGAGCCACCTGCTCCTCTATGGCCTCATTCGTGGCCTCCCAGTCTGTGGCCCGTTTCTTGTCTTCTAACATTTGCTGTTCAATCCATGATTCCTCTGAAGTTTTTATGGCATTCTTCATCAGGGACTGCTCTGCAAACTGCAAGGGAGCAGAGGAACAGGGATGTGGAATGACACTCTAAACCTGTCCAAGAGCCAGAATGGGTTGAGGAAGGTAGGCCCACAGAACCCGACAAAGAGACAGGAAGCCAGGTACTCTCAGCAAGCACCTTTCTTGGCAGACTGCAAATTTATCAGGGGGTGGGGGGAAACAGACTTGGGTTGTAAGACCTGTCATTTCAAATTCCTCCACTCAAGAATCCCTGACCCAATCCTAAGACAACTTTGAGCTGAGGTTAAGACCAGGGAAGCAGGGGCCCTCCAGCATCAGCATAGGCCTGACTTTCCAGAAGCCCTATCCAGCAAGGACTCAGCTTCACAGAGCCAAGGCTTTCCTCATGTATCCTCAGATGGGTCAGAGAGTAGATGACTGGAGAAGGGAGCTGTGTGAACACAGGTTGGGGGTGGGAACAGTGAAGATGTGAGGGACTGGGGAAGCTGTGGTTGCAGGAAGGAATAGGGGACAGTATGAGCATGATGTGGGAGCTAGGAATTGTAGGATATTATATGACAGTACTGTGTATCAGACTGTGAGAGAAGATTGCATTTAAAAAAATAAAACAAAATATCAGAATATAATGCACAGAGTAAGTATAAATATCACTACATAGAGATTTAGTTAATATTACTTTAATACAGACACATACCACACACAAATGCATACTGGTGTATAAAGTAATTTTCTACAGTGAAGAACAATGAAAAAAAAGGACGTAGTTGGGCGTGGCAGTACACGCCTGTAGTCTCAGCATCAGCATTCGGAGCTGAGGCAGGAGGATTACTGTGAGTTTGAGGCCAGCCTGGGCTACATAGTGAGACCGTCTCAAAAAAAAAAGTATGTAAATTTCTATTAGAACATGCCAACTAAAAAATAGGCAAACTCGGCTGGGAATGTTGTTCAATGGTAGAGCGCTTGCTTGTCTAATGTGTGAGAGGCCCTGAGTTGCATCTCTAGCACCATAAAAAAATTAGACAAACATTCTAAAACACAGAATTCAACAAAGGATACACTGATGGCAAACAGCATACGTAAAGATGTTCCCAGTCTGAGAATGTAGCTCAGTGACTGCTTAAAAAAAAAGATGCTAGGCTTGATTTCATTAGGAAATTACAAATAAAAACAATGACCTGGGCGTGGTGGCGCACACCTATAATCCCAGCATTCGGGAAGCTGAGGCAGGAGGATCCCTTTGAGTTCAAGGCCAGTCTGAACTACATGGACAGACCCCGTCTCAAAAAATAAAACAAAAAAACGCCAAAAAGCAAAAAATGACAAGATAACACTACATACCTAAAAGAATGGCTAAAATACAAAGCACTGACAAGATCAATTGCTAAAAAGGTGCAGAGCTATCACGACTCCTGTTCAATATAGTTCTGGAAAAATTAGCCACAGCAATTAGAAAAGATAAAAGGAATAGATAGGAAAGGAAGAAGTTAAACTGTCATTATTTGCTGATGATATACTTTACATAGAAGACCCAAAAAATTCAGCCAAAAGACTTCTAGACTTAATTGACAGATTCAGTAGAGTAGCTGGATATA